TTATTTAAAAATATAGAGAATATAATTTTATATGTTTTAGATAAAAAGTAAAAACGAAAAATATAATTTTAAACAGAGTTCTTATAAACATAAAAAACTGTAAAATTCAAAAAGTAAGAAGTACCACATTAAAATCTTGTAAAAAAGAAAATTCTTAAACATCTAATATTATGGAACAACAGATTTGTTTAATTATGCTTCTTCCTATAATATTTACTGATATGTATGTATTATTCATTCATAAGAAATATTAATTTAATTTTGTTATTTTGAAAACTATACATTGAAATCAAGGTATCACTAACCAATACTTAAAAGGGTCAATTGCAAAAATAATCAAAAAAGAAAAAAACTAAAAAAGTAATAAAATTAGCATGTTTGGCCAAATATCTAACTTTTAGATTTAGGTTAAATGATTACAATTTATAATAATTTTTTTTTTCTTAGTTATAGCATGCAATTTTCCTACTTAAGAAGATAAGAGAAATTGATACAAAAAAAAAGAGAGAAATTGATACAGTTTTGTACAACTTCTTTTTAATCAAATTTGGAACTCAAGAATATCAAGTGGCATAAAACACCTTTGGGTGAATTTTAAGCACGTAACCTGTAAATAACACGTGGGGTTTCCGTGGGGGGGATAACATTTTCCCATTATTATTAATCTTTGCTCGAATTTTAATAGTAAGTTTATTAAAATTAAGTAGATGTTAATTGCCGTTTTCGACAAAAAAGAAGAAGTTAATTGCCGTTTAAGGTTTTTTGTTCATTTCTTTGATAACTGATAAACTAAGATGGATTAATGTTAATCAATATGTTAATCCGTATTAGTGAATATCAGATTTATGAAGAGAAGAAGTTAGTCAAGTGGACAAGTGGTTGTGACCGTTAGCCCATAGGCGGGAAACACTCAAACACTTCAAACTAGCTCTTACCCGAAATGGACAAACAAGAAGAAAGGAAGAAGAAGCATTACCGAAAATAGAAGTCACATGTGTGTTCAAATTCAAAATATATGATCGTTGGGACTCTTCCCTCTCTCTTTTCTTTGTTGTCTATAAATATCATGTACTCTATGTCTGATTTTAACTAAGGAAATAGAATCTTCCTTCTCTAAACCCTCTTCTCTCTCGGTTTCGCATTCTCTCTCGTGGTTACTCAATTTTTTCGTTTATTCTCACTAAATTCTAACATAGTATCAGAGCGTTAAACGCTCCTAGACCTTACTTCCGCTACTATCTTCATTCTTAACCCCATTCGCTTCATTCTCATCTCCATTTTCTCAAATCTGTTCGAAGAAATCTCTCCTTACCCGTTGGATATCCTAGTGAATCTTACGACATCTCTCTTTATCCATTGGATAAAAGCTTGTAGGCATGAAAGGCTCAAGCAACTCTCGGCATG